ATATTAATGTGACTCATTTTAATTTCGTACGAATGTTGAAGAGTCCAACTAGCCTCCTTAGCTCAGTGGTTAGAACACTGGTCTTGTAAACCAGGTGTCATGAGTTCGAATCTCATGAGGGGCTTCCGCTAGAGAGAATTTTAAATGTTTGACATGTTTATGTTTAATGAGTGTGTAACTCAAACTTATCAGGACAGGCGCATTGATATGACTCAATTTGCAATGCAAGCCGCCTCCTTAGCTCTGTGGTTAAGACAGAAGCCATTACTTCGAATTTCTTAGGGGCAACTCCTACACGGTATCTTCAAGGCTGCAAGCCGCCTCCTTAGCTCTGTGGTTATAGCGGGGGGCCATGAGTTCGAATTTCATAAGGGCAACTCCTACAGCTAATTTTCCATCTTGGATGAACAAACCAGTCAATGTTGTATGTTTATGGGCGATGAGTGAGTTACTGAAATCCGTCAAGACAAGCGAATTATATGACTCAATTTACTTTCTTACTTTCACATGGGCTACTGCTCCTGTAACCACTCAATACAAGCGTATTAGTTTGATTCATTTTGATTACCAATGGCTTCTTGAGGAGTGCAATCCGACTCCTTAACTCAGTGGTTCGACTTTCATATGAGGCTTCCGCTCGACTTAATATTTCATGATTGACATACCAGTCAATGTTGCATGTTTATGTGTAATGAGTGTGTAACTCAAACTTATCAAGACAGGCGCATTGATATGACTCAATTTGCAATGCAAGCCGCCTCCTTAGCTCTGTGGTTAAGACAGGAACCATGACTTCAAATTTCTTAGGGGCAACTCCTACACGGTATCTTCAAGGCTGCAAGCCGCCTCTTTAGCTCAGAAGTTCGTGTACTAGATTAAACATATTAACTGTAGGAGTAGCCCCTCTGGGACTTGAAGAAATATTTATATTTTTGTCGCCATCTTTGCGACCATCTTGAATACATAAAACCTTCAATGATGCTAATGACGTATCATTAAGATTCTGGTTATCGACATTCTAAAGTTGAGTAACCTGCACATATATATTCCAGACTGCTGTTTTGGGTTATGGGGTCTGCCACTGGACTAAGGAACTCACTGGCCAGTCTGAATTACCGCATTTTTATAACACTGGGTGTAGCCGCTATGTGAACTACTGTGTGAATCACTAAGAATGTTGGGAACGCATACACGTGCAAATTCGCTCTCAATAGTGACATTACATCCTTAAATCGGGGAGTCGTAACCTACGCATGCGTCAGATTGCCATAGCGTGTCATTGTTTACAAACAAGCATCTACCTGCCTTTGCGTTTTTAGCGTGTGTTGTTATCGTCGCTTGGGACTCAATTCCCGCGCGTGCCCATGTAACGACCCTCCCGTTTTACCATATGCATTATTCAGAACCCAGGTATGGTATGTCACATATTGAGTGAGTTTGAAGTTGCTGGCTTAGTCAAACATGTCTATCAGCGGCTCCCCAAAGAGTGAATAAAATATTTTCCATACTTTTAAATTATAATTCTGTTGCATATGTACATATATGGATTGACGTTTGCTGGCTGTGTAGGCATCCTACTGGTAACCCCACTCTAACCACTGAGCTAAGGAGACAGTTTGCAGTCACTGTGGTACCATGGGAAATTCAATAGTCAATGTGTTGTCTTGAGTGGTCTCTGTAATTTCCCAACCAAATATCAACATTCAACATTGAATGTTTTGTCAATTATCAAATGAATGTTCTCAATCAAGCGCACCCCTCATAAAATTCAAACTCAAGACCAGTAGTTTAATCACAAGGAGCGGTTAAATCACTGACCTAGAAGCATCTGTGAGACATTTGGGTATTGCGGGACAATTCTATTGGGTTACAGTGAAGTGCGTCTTTTGGTTGTCCTTGATCACTTATATTAGTTATAATAAAGTAATACGAGGGGCGTTCAATAAGTAATGCCCCTGACCCACTTCCAGTTGTCTGATCTAGATGAAATTTTGCGTGTGTAATGATTTACATCTCTATGGGTTATTTTGCAAAAAACAGTTCTGAACTAATTGTAGTTGATGATTTACAGGTGTTCGAACTGGGTCAGATGTGAAATGGAGCCAGTTGAGTGTCGCGCAGTGATCCGTTTTTTGTATTTGAACGGTCGCACACCAAAGGAGACTTTTGATGAAATGAAAGAAACTTATGATGATGATGCCCCAGCCTATGACCTTATAAAACGCTGGCATCGTGAATTCAAACATGGCCGGAAGTCTGTGGGAACAGCTTCCAGACCTGGTCGTCCCTCTTCTGCCATTGATGAGGCATCTGTCCGTCAAGTTGAGGCAGCCATTCTGGAAGATCGACGCATTACTGTTCGCCAAATAGCCCAAGAGGTCAAGATTAGGGTCTGTGGAAACTATCATTCATGACTATTTGCATATGCATAAGGTGTCTGCCAGATGGATTCCCAGGTTTCTCACAGCTTTCCAGAAGCAAGAACGCGTCAAGTGCTCGAGGATGAATTTGGTGATGTGCCAAGACTGATTACACAAGATGAAACTGTGTGTTCTACAAAAACGGTGTCGAGAGCTGCATCAAACAATGGGAGAAATGCATAACTCTGAGTGGTTTCTGTGTAGAGAAAGACTAATAACTGTGACAAGTTTCATTAATCTCCTGCTATGGGAAATGGGTCAGGGCATTACTTATTGAACGCCCCTCGTATATTAGTACTCGAGTAAACAATGGGAATGTTAAAAGCGTTTATTTTATTGGGTGGCAGGTGACATTGCATGTTTACATGATTTATATTGACAGAAATCATTTACTCATATTTTAGATATAAGGTTATTTGAATCTTGTTCGCATCATTCGATGGTGTCTCACCACCATGACAACGATGAAAATGGTTGTCAGTACTATGAAATATGCAAATAGATATGCAAAGTACTGCCATGAACCTAAGAAAAATTAGAGAACACAAAATAAGTTAAAATGATTTTAATCTAGGTGTGTTGTTTCAATGGTCGGCATTGTCGTTGAGTTCCCTTAATTCACTCCAATGACAGAAAAAAATCGAACAAAAGTCAAAAACTGAGTTGACGGCGCACGCTATTCTTTATGTGTTTTACGAAATAAAATCTTACCTTTCTTGAGGAACGGTGTAGTCACTGAAAAGACAACAACAACATAGTTAAAAAATATTATTATTTAATTAATTGGGCACGAATGACCCTACATTGGTCTTTTCAGTTGAATCTGTTTAGAGCCGGCATCTGGAGTACGAGCGTGAAAGATAAATGCGATTAATTCACCGATATTTACTGTATTCTCGTGCGGAGCTACATAACTTAACGTTATACGTTGCTAAGACGCGCACCACGGTACCATGTTGCAAAAATCAGTGTTTTGCAGTTTGTTTGTTTTTTAATTAAAAGAATTCATAATGTAATGAAAACGGAAAGTCTTTATTCTAGTGTGTTTAATTTTTGTTTACTCATTTTGTTCCCGGAATCGAACGTCTTTATGAATGATTAATCACATGACGTAATTTTCAGTGACGTCATTTAACACACGCTCATTTTCAATTTCTGTCCACGTAATGTCACTTACCAACAAGTTTGAATTCTGCCGCCTTTTCCCTGTCATGATAGCAGGTGTAAGTCTCACTGTCGTATGTCACGAGGTCACGAATATGCAATATGTTCAGAACGTCGATACGAACTCGGCCACCAATACGATGTAGGTCAAAGGCCCTCAGCTGAATGGTTCCATTCATCCACGTGATCGCAGTGTCAACATTCGCCCTGAGTTGAAGAACATGGGTTATAGCATTCTGTTTCGTACGTCATGGTGAACTTAGGATTTAAATCGCACTGAGATAAATTTTATCGATTGACAAAATATACAATGACCTTCCACAACTTACCCTGGACATTCCAATTTAACCCTATCTCCAACATTTCGCCTCACAGTCCTTGTCATCAGTGTTTCTAGAGATTAATATATATAACAAATATTAGTCATCTTTACACTTGCATGTCTCTCTCCGCTATACATTCATTGCGTAATAATGAATTGCACAGTGTCGTTATTAGCCCTAGCCTAAATAGTGCACACTGCGTACTTTATCTGCTACATTATCACAACAATCCATTAGTTATCCAAGACGCGACGTGATGCCGTGTGTGAGCGTCCAGTCACGCACGCGGTACATGTTAAAGTGGGAGGGTCGTCACCTGCGCACGCACGGGAATTGAGTTCCAAGCGATGATAACAACACGCGCTAAGAACGCAAAGGCTCATGGGTAAACGCTTGTTTGTAAACAATGACACGCAATGGCCACCTGACTCATGCGTAGGTTACGACTCTCCCGCTTTAATTTAACGTAGTATTCACCTTGCCGTGTAATTTTGGTCTTTTTCACACCAATTTATATGTTGTCTTGTCCAATTGATTATATCAAAGCGCGGTGGTCGTCGCGCGTTCGAATTTCATGTAAATAAACAATGTATTGTACACGCGTTGTACACGTCGCTATGAGTCCCACATTGAACAGGACGCGGCACATCGACTGCCGCCCTTTAAGTTACCTGTAAAGGCGCAGCTAACAGCTGACTCGATTAGTTTACTGTGTAAGTGTCAGTTGCCGATTTTATCACTGTCACTTCTTAGCCATTGAGTACAAAATTAACACCTCTATGTTTTGCATCAATTTAAACTTAAACAGGTACAAATACTAGTAAACCCAAATGTATCGTCCGAATAACCGTACTGGCATTTGATTTACCAGCTATAAATATGTGTGCAGTTTTCCGTGAAAATATACCAATGGAATGACGTGTTTACTTACCCATGGCGATGGTAGTGATATCCACTGTAAACAAAAATATGAGAAAGCATAAATAATTAATTTCTAAATGCTAAAATCACGAATTTCACTGTATTGCATCAAAACAATCGTACATTCAAACGTCATAATGTAACGAATTCCACGAAATATTTTTAATAAATCTGACATGAAACTGATTCATAGACATTCATACAGTGAGGAAATGTAGATATGAAATAAAATAAATATAGAAAAAAAAGGAAAAAATCCTTACGTTGATTTTCACACAATTCATGACATTCATCCACCATTCGTTCGTCTTTCCTACTAGAGAAAAGGGTAAGCTGATCACGTGACAGCTTATCCGACTTACAAGGTACTCCGTCGGCATATTCAAGAAGAAATACTTCGACAAAACAGTAGCCTGGGAACGAATTATATTGATAATGAAGTTGAATTGTCACCGCAAGCGACAACGTAATTATGAGGCAGGCTATAAAATTTGTATCAGATAATTATGAAAATTTGTAATATTAATTGAAGACGCAGTACGAACATATTAAAAGCCATACAAGTTTTGAGCTCACGGCGACAGCAAGGCGTCTGGCCACTATAAAGTATCAAGTAGCATGTAATAAATCATGAATCTCTTACGTCATAAGAAATGGTTTGATATTTTAATGTTTAATTGGGTGATAGTCGACAGTGTACGACTATCTGGTATGTTGTATGGAATTATATTTTGATAAAATAGTTAGAAATTGGTATTTTGGATACAGTTCGTATATAGTACTCATTATTAGAACACACGCTGGCGATGTTGAAGACGCGCAACTTTCAAATCGATACCAAGATGTCAGCACACGCCATGTACGGAGTAAACCACTTCCGCAAATTAGTTCATAATTTATGAACACGCCGACGCTTCAGTCACTATCATTTATTTATATGATAAACATTATGTGATGAAATATAATGCATTTATCAATTATTCTAATGTATTAAACAAATGGTGAAGTTCCTCGCAAATTTGAGATGACCCGGGTATCCCGGACTTTGTGTGGCGTTGAGCTCACCGCACACTGTTCAACTTGGTCTACCGCGTCTTAAAATATCCTCCAAATATTCAATATCCGGCGTGTACGAGTCTGACCTGCGGTCCTCATTTTCAGAGTACACTTTCCAGTTCCAGCTTCCAAATCCTGGATATACTCCGCCTTATAAATTTATACATACATTTGTCTGAAATCCGTCGAAACGTAAATTCACAGATGTTAGTTTACAGATCTACTATTTCATAACGCCTCATCTTGGAATTGACTTAATTATGGAACTAAAGTCTGTGTCTGTTTTGGTACATGCAATAATTGTTGAATATATGTTGTTGAATGTTCATTTATTGCATATTGGGGGCGCCATCCAGTCGTTACAGTTTGTATTAACACGTGTTGGTTGATTCAATAGTGAAAACGCACGCATCGGTAATTTACTGCGGTAGCCGAGTGTTCACGCCCAATGTTTAACCGTATACTAATTGGCCCAGGGTGCGCCATCGTGAAATTGGAAAAAAAAACAATGTTGGATACCTAATGTTTACTTTTCAGCACTATCTAGAAATTATGGAGTCAAACAAATACTTCAATTTTATTGCACTGTACACGTACCCATTCGAACCGTTTCACCTTTCTCCCCACAACGACTGCATGGACTCCATTCACTCCACTTGGTATAAAGCACAGTTCCCTCACGGAGTTCGGGTTCATATGGCAGTGCGCCCTCAGCGATGAATACTTCGTTGATTTGATCAGGTTCTTCCTCTTTGATTTCTACATCGTACATACCATGGATTCTAGAAAAGACCAACACAACATTGTTAGCTCCTGCAGTACTAACCCGTATGATTAAATAATAGCATCTGTGTGCGACCGTCTGGGCCTTTCAATTGCCATGTTATCGTGGAAATGAGACGAACGAGGGACGGATGCAGGATGTTCTGTAATAGGGGAGCGCATCTCGACAATGACGTATTTCCGCATTGCGTTGGGGACATATGTGAACAAGTAACCACAGGTTTAGATTCGAGTGACGCACGCGCACTCGTGCTTCCTAAATCCGTTCGGACATAATTAGCTAAATTGTAAATGCTTACCTTCCATTCTCAATGCTTTTACATCGATATATCCCAGAATCCCCCAAGGTTGTCTTTCTAACCTGAATCGACATAGTTTCCATCAGAATGACGCGATTGTCTTCGTCATCGTCATGAACATCAAAAGCTATTTGTTCCTCGCGGACTCCTACTTCATCTTTTGTTTCTTTAAACCAGTGAACGTGATTGGATGTTCCGGTACTATGCAATCAAAGTTTACAACATTAATAATACGTGATAATGGGGCAGACTTGATACTTTGCTTATATGTGATACTTATAGAATAACCTTTATTTCGAGTAGATAGATAGATAAATGTTTGAAACTTAAAGGGCGGCAGTCGTCGCGCGCGCATGTGCGGCATTTGTGTCCCACAATCCAATGCGCTCTTTTATTGGAAATCACAAGAATGAGGTTTGACCTGGACACGACTTGCACTAATTACCGCCGGTGACTCCTTCGATACCTGGTAATCTCTCAGTTTGTAGTCGTTGATCTGCGTATCAGTCAAAGGCGTCATCTTTGTTTATATAAGACCCCGTTGTGTCGTCACCGGAAGCGCTGTCCCAGCACAAACCTGTGTCATATGACGCCTTACTAGCCGATTTTGGCTAAAATTCCGCTCCGCCGCCTCTTTACAACAGTGTTTATACGCGGAACTTGATATTGCTTTTTACAATTTGGGTTGCCTTTGAATCACATATGTTAGTGAAACATTGTTTATAGAGTGAAATATTATTGTCATACATAATTCAATCTTTGAAACAACAGAAACTAACACATAATAACGATAATCAAATTTGTGTTTGAAGTTCAAAAGTAGTTGCGTTATTTCCGGTTTCAACTAGTTCGAAAATAGAACGTCTTTGAGCGCAATAAAATTACGCGTAGAACTCCATCCGAACCAGACTCTAGCAGCGTAAACTTATTGCAATTTGCGCAAGTTGGGCCCAGTTTGTTCTTACAAGTTTT